TTACTCTCGAGCGGCCATTCTTGCACTCGAGCGGGCTATGTACTTTTGGTCCTCCGCTCGAGCGTACTTTCTTGCGCTCAAGCAGGAGTTGCAAACCCTCAGTACTTTGCACGTTTGCAAAGTGCTGAAGGAGTGTCTTTCACACTTGAGCGGTGTTTCCTATGCTCGAGCGGGTAGGCGCTCGAGTGTCCCTTCTTGAGCTCGAGCAGTTGGTCTGTTGTCTGCAAAAGTTCTGGAGGTGTGCATTCTGCGCTTGAGCAAAACAAAAGTTTGTGTCTGACGCTCAAGCGTCAAACTCTGTGCTCGAGCGTACTGCGCGTATATCAGAACAAGAAAAGCATTTTTTACATCACTTTTTCATACCTATTCACTCAAAACCCTAAGTTGAGAGTCTCTCTCTCTAAAACTCACATTCTCTCTACATTTTGACCTAGACCCTTTGATTTCTACACCCTTGTGCCTTCATTAAAAAGGTAGAACTCCTCGAGCTCTTCACTTTGATCTGAGTAGAAGTTGGTTTCGTCACTTTTGAAGTCCCATCCTTACTTGGCCCATCTTCTTTCTTCGAGGTAGGAATACTCTACACCTTAATATGGTTTTTAACCTAGGCATTTATCATTTTGCATAAATGGTGGAACTTAGAAGGATTTGGGTGAAGTTAGGGTTTGGGTTTGAAATTTGAAAGAGGGGTTTTCAACATTGGGCTCCATAAATATATATATAGGGTATTGCATAAGAGGTTACCTGAGTTAAAATGGTGAAATTTGGCTTTGGGGTTGATATCTGAAAAAAAAAGGGAAAGTTTGCTCTAAATTGTATTGAATAATTATTTCGTATAAATGATGAAATTGGTATGAAATATGTGAAATTGAGAGGATGTATGTATAAATGGTGTAGTTGGATTTTATTGAATCACTCACCTATGAAAATTTGAGGAAAGGAATTATGTGTTTTAAAGATTGTATATCTATTTAGAAATATCTGTCTTGGCTATCGGTGGAGGATAGCTATGATTGTTGTAAAAATTGCATGAGGATTAAGTAAATTTAAACTAATCATTTAATCATGTCATTGAATGTAATGGTATATTTTAAATACATTGTATATGTATGATGTGTTGGGAGAAGAAAAGAGATGTACTCCATGTCTTGAGAGGAGATAGGGGATGGACTCCATTGAAAATTAAGTTGGTCGGAGTGTCCATGGTGAAAGTTCCGAAATTATATGTATACATGGGTGCCAATCCCGCGGACAAAATTTTCGTAAAATAGCAAGGTTAAATTATTTGTATAGTAGTTATGTTGATTAGGAATCACTGAGTTGTAGTCTCAGTTGGATTAATTGAAAAATATAAATTTGATCTATGAATTGAAACCAAATGTACTAATTTGAAATGAATGTATGGGAATGGAATGAGATATGAGTATTGGTACCGAATGGTCATGGAAGGAATGTGAATTGGTCATGAGTATTGAACATGTTTATATTTGACACTAATATCTTATTTAAACCTCATTTATTGTGTTAGTATATCTCTACTGGGCTTTGGCTCACCCTACTTGGGAAATTATTTTCAGGAGCTGGTGATATGCTTCCTCCAAGGACATAGCTTAGGAGGACTCAAGAGCTGAAGGCTCCGTTTTGTATTATTTTTGTATTTAAATGATTGCTCAAGCCGAGGGCTTTACATGTATAGAGCTTATAACTCTCTTTTCTTTTAACCAAGTCTTGTCTTGGAAAAATGTAAGCCCTTAGGGTATTTATTTTGTTGTAATTAACTTGTATTACATGTTGTAGATTCAGAATGAACGTTTATGAATGTAATGCATGCAGTCCTTTCTGTAACACGAACTCTGATGAGTGAAAGTGTATCATTTCTATCATATTCCTAAATCTCATGGGAAGGATTAGTTGTATTATTTTGAGGGTGTTATAGCCTGGGCCTGGGCTTGGGCCATTATTTTGAAACCCGACCCAGCCTGTGACCCACTCAAGGCCCACTCAAAGCTTGGCCGAGGCCTTGTACGGCCCGATCCGCCTGAGGCCTAGTGTCATTTTTGGTAGAAAAGAGCAAAATTTTGGTGAAAAAAATAGAAACAAAATGTTCAAGCCCTACCTAAGCCTGAGCCCAAGCCTACCAACTCGGCGGCCTACGCAAGGCCTGAATACCCCATGGGTCTAATTTTCTGACATGTGGAGCGACCCGAATTTTGGTAGGAACCTGTGAGGCCTAACATGGACTGGCCCGAGCCCGAGTTTGAGTCGAGGGAGAGAGTTGCCTTGGATATTCTAATAGACTGCCACATCATTGAGTTTGAAAAATAAGTCTAATTTTTTAGCTTAAGTAGCATAACCCAGAAAAATATACCTTTGGTATTGTACAATTTGACTTGGCTTCTCTTCAATTTAATCATGGACTAGGGGTGTTGTTTGAGTTCACAGGACCCATCACGAGTCTCGTTTGATTATTCGGATCGTTCATTTTGTTAGGTCATTCACGTATGTCACCTAAAACATTAAATAGGTCGTTCTAATAATCAGAACTTATTTAATTTATTGCATTTGTCATCAAGAAAATAGATAACAAGTGTGTTTTTAAAAATAGACTATCTAATTTTTGGATAACAATCATGATAAATTGAATAGGCTATGAATATATGATCAATCCAATTTTCTTGAGAAAGATCTGACAAAATCAACAATTTGGATTACTGAAAACGAGAATCGTGACGACTCTCGTAAGTTCCAACAACAACTTGCGATTCAAATCACGGACAAGAAGGAATCCAATTTAAATATAATTTTATATTGATTAGAAAAAGTAATGAATTTCAGCTTTAGTAAAAGAGTGAGAGTGGATTAATACTAATTGACAATTTTCAAAAGATAAGAACAAAGAGAACGTCATATTAGGGTGCACAAAATATTTAGTAATTCCACAAGATGAATCGATCTTTTTTGAGTTGGGTTAATTTGATTTTTGAGTACATTAATTTCTAAATTGTCAACTCAATAGAATTGAGTTAGTATATTAACGTGAGAATCAAATCTATCTATCTATATATATATTGGGGGTGTTTGGGAAGAAAAAAAATAGTCTAGTTTAGGCTAAAAATCACAAAAAGACAAAATAGGTTAAAATAGCTAATAAAACAAAATATCACATCAAATTCATAATCATTTCACTTTTTCTCTCACAAACATCACATCTAACCATAAAAAAATCCAATCATCTTCTCAAACACAAAAATTTTAGCCTACTAAAATAGTCAAAAACTAAAATAACCTACTAAAATAGCCACTTCCCAAACGAAGCCATTATATAAAATTTTATTTATATTGATATGTATTCACGTAGTTAGTTTATTACAACGTGCTTGATTTCATATTGGCCAAGGTGAAGCGAGAAGTACTGAAAACTTGATTACAATATTATTGATTTCATATTGGCCAAGGACAAGTGAATGATGAGTTCAAAAAAATAAAAAAATAAAAAATAAATAATTGACTAGTGAATGAAGGAAGTACTGAAAATTTAAGTTGAAATTCACTATGTTACTGAATTTGATTTATATTGATTGCTTGAATTGGATTTTTTTATTGACAAAAATAAAATTTATTGTTGAATAAAATTTAAAAATAATATTTTTGTTTTTTTGTGTGTTGCTTGTGACTCACTTGTTGTACCTTAACTAATATTAATTAAACACACCTAATCAAAATTAAAATCATAATAGGTTATAACTGAATCATAACCAATATCACAATGTGTCATAATTAAACATTACTTAAAATATAATCAAATATCTTTTTTATCATAATCAAAATAGCGATCATAATAGATGATAAAGTGATAACCAACATTTCCTATTTTTAATAGGGGAAGGAGGAGGATTCTTTTCTGTCCAAATTTTAGACTGTAGGGCGTTATTTAGATCCATGGGGCCCTATGGGTCCCGTTTCAATAATTTGAACCATTCATTTTGTTGGACACTTTGCGTATTTTATCTACACAAAAAAAAAAATAGATCTATCTGATAAGTCTAATTTATTCAATCTATCGCGTTTTTAACCAAAAAATGCGTTTTTAAAAATAAATCATAATTTTTTTGTTAAAAATGCGTTAAATTCAACAAATTATAATTATTGAATTGATCTAATTTTTTGTGTAGATGAAATGCACAAAATAGCCAATAAAAATGAATAATTTGGATCACAAAATGGGGCCCGTGATGGGCCCTAGGGGCCCAAACAATGCCCTCCAATTATTAGATCGACTTAATTTTTTTTGTGAATGAAATATATGAAATGTCGAATAAAATAAACTATTTAAATTATTGAAACAAGACTGTATTGACCCCACGGATACAAACAGCATGTGGAGGAAATCCTCCAATCTAGATTTTGGACTGGAGGGCACTGTTTGGGCTCGTAAGGCCCACCATAGGCCCCATTTCGATAATCTCAACCGTTCATTTTATCAGGCGCTTCATATATTTCATACAAAATATACGAAGTGACCGATAAAATAAACGGTTCGGATCATTTAAATGAGACCTATGGTAGACACCACGACTGAAAGGAATCCTTTTTCATATATATATATGATATGCTGACGGTAGGGAATCCCCCTCCATATAGGGGGTGATTATTCAGTATTCCCGAAATATAAACACGTGGTGCTCTATAAGATTTTGATTGATGGAGAGGCGTACGGGCGCACAATTCATGTTGGGAATGAAAGAACAACATGGGACTAGATAATTGGTAATTGATTTGGAATATAGTCCCGTAATATTCCGAGAGTATTGAATAATTTCTCCAATATACAAGTCTTACGAGTGGAGGGGATCCTTCTCCATGTATATATATATGGTATGCCGACAATAGGTAATCCTCCTCCTATATATATATATATATATGCGGAGAGTTGTATGTATTAACTACACAGAAACAGTAACATAGAAGGAGGACAACCAAACACAAACACACACAGAGAGAGAGAGAGAGAGGTGCAAGCCGTACGCTTGGAAGGGGTACAATAATGGTGTATTTGATTAGATCTGAGATGGAGATGCAGAAGGAGGAGGAGGAGGAGGAGGAGGAGGAGGAGATGGAGATGGAGATGGACTGGGGAAAGCATACCTTGATTTCTAATTCTATGGAAGCTGCAATATACAGGGCAGCTATAGCTGGAGACATCGATGGCCTGACAACAGCACTACAACAAGACCCCGAACTCAATCTTCTCAACCAACTCACCCCGCGAGACGACACGATTCTTCATATCGCCGCAAGACTAGGCCATCACCATCTAGCGGAACATATCCAAAGTTGCTGCCCAGACCTTTTCAAGAGCAAAAACTACAACAATGATCATCCTCTTCATCTTGCTGCTGCTGGTGGTCATCTATCTATAGTCCAGTCTTTGAGCACTATTGCTGGTGGTCATCCATCTGGGCGAGAAACTGAAGCAGAGCAGGAGGTTTTAAATGTCATAAACGGGAAAAATAAACAAGGGAATACTCCATTGCATATGGCCGTAAAGGCTCATCAATACGAGGTGGCTGAGTTGTTGTTTAAGCGGCCTGGAAGTGCATTAATTTCATGTTCTCTGAATCTGGAAAAAAAGTCACCCTTGTATATGGCCGCCGAAGCAGGGCATGAGGGGCTCTTTGAGCTTATGATGAAATTCGTTGCTTCGAATGTTGACGCTCAAAATATGCTCAAGGATGGCCAACCACTCCTGCACGTTGCTATTACAAGAAGGAACATGGGTAATTCAATCTTTTACCACTATTTATTTCTTTGTATACAACATGCTGTTTTGTATAACATAGCTGTTGATTTATAATTGCATGTTACTCCAGTAAAGTGAGCTATTCTATGTTAATTTAAATGTTATTCAACAATTAACCATAATGCTATTAATTTGGTTCAGCTTAAAACTGACTCCTCCTCCTAGTGATGTTGCATTCTATTTTATTTTATTTTTATTTCCTAATGAATTGGGGTCTAAATCTTTGTTTTAAAAAAAAAATTTGCAGTTGTTCTTGGGATAGCATTGAAGTACGTGCCATCTCTTATGGATGCACATGACAGAAGAGGGAGGAGATCTCTTTCGTATGCCGCATCCAGAGGTTATGTTGATGGGGTTTGCTACATCCTGGATAGATTTATCGGTTGCACATACAAAAGAGACGGTAATGGGTCTTATCCCATTCATGAGGCATCGAGCAAAGGTCATATTGAAGTTGTTAAGGAGTTTCTACAACGTTTTTCAGATTCAAAAGAGTTGCTAAATAGACAAGGACAAAATATTCTTCACGTTGCTGCTAAGAGTGGGAAAGCCAACATTGTTAGTTATATACTTAAAGCCCCTGAGCTTGAGATGCTTATCAATGACACAGACCAAGATGGAAACACCCCATTGCTTTTGGCCACAAAGAAAGCTCATGTTGAGATAGTGAGCATTTTGACATGGGACAAGAGAGTCAGATTAGAGATAAAGAATGGCGAAGGCTTTACCGCTTTAGATGCTGCTCTCAATTACCGGGGGACCACTCGCTCAATTCGCGAGGTATTATTATTACTATTACTCCATCTGTCTTAAAATAATAGTACATTTTGAGAATTTAACTTATTTTAATAGTACAATTATTACAATTTAAAAATATTAATTTTTCAAAATTATCATTTGATAGTATTTTTTTTTTAATATCAATTGTCATAATTGTACTTTTTGTGTTATTAATAAATTTGAAAGAATGGCAAAATAATAAATTCATATTATTTTATTCCTTGATTTTTGAAAAGGAATTAATATTTTGGAACAATAAAAAATGAAATAAGGGACTAATATTTTGGGACGGAGAAAGTATTATGATTAATGATTCATCCACACAATTTTTTCGTCTTAATTTGTCCGAATGAGACTCTTACCAATGAGAGTTTCAAATATGTGAATTTAAACTATAAAAAATGTGTAGATGTAGCTGGTGTATTATTATTATTATTATTATTATTATTATTATTATTATTATTATTATATTGACGTAATTATTATCCAAAAAATAAATGTTGGGCAAAAAATTAAATATAGAACCAAAAAAATCGTCACCATGAGGAATTGTCAAGTTTAACTTGGTTGGGCTAACATAACCTACGTTCACTTAATCATATGGTTAAGAGTTCTTTTGGATATGGCTTAGAGTAACTCCAATCTTTTTCCTTTTAAAATATTCTTGAATAGCAAGAATATATCTTTTGTTTTTTTAGATTTCTTGATTAGTGAGAATTATTTTAGCATAAATAAAGATGTAAGCCTTGGGACAATACGGTTGATATTTAATTAATAAAAATAGAGAGTTTTCTCAATATTATTCGTTCGTAGAAGGAATATTTTTAATTCAGATTTGTTTGTGGTTTAATTTTATTGTTTACTTTTGTTTTTGATATGTTTTCTTGCATAAGGACCGTTTGTACAATTCATTATGTGACTATTTGAAAACTATGATGCTATTTTAGAATTCCCATAACTTGAGAAGACGCGTAATTTATTTAGTTATTTATTTTGTAATGTGTATATATTTTTATATTTTATTAATGAGTATTTTGATATTGAGTAAGAAAATTTAAAAAGATTGTGCATTTTTTACCGCACATATTTGGTAAATATTGGCACAACCAGTGGCGGAGAGAAAGAAGGACGAGGGGGGAGCAAGGATCCTCTAGAGTTTTTTTTTCCTAAAGTTTCCTAGAGTGGTGTGTTGTATGGTTGAGATTTAATGACAAGTCACATCAATTTTTTAGCATTAAATCTCACCCATACAACACACCACTTTAGGAAACTTTAGGAAAAAAAAAACTCTAAAGAATCCTTGGTGTAATTTTATTGTTTACTTTTGTTTTTGATATGTTTTCTTGCATAAGGACCGTTTGTACAATTCATTATGTGACTATTTGAAAACTATGATGCTATTTTAGAATTCCCATAACTTGAGAAGACGCGTAATTTATTTAGTTATTTATTTTGTAATGTGTATATATTTTTATATTTTATTAATGAGTATTTTGATATTGAGTAAGAAAATTTAAAAAGATTGTGCATTTTTTACCGCACATATTTGGTAAATATTGGCACAACCAGTGGCGGAGAGAAAGAAGGACGAGGGGGTCACCCCCTCAGTTTTGAGAATTATTTTATTTTATTTTGTGTGTGTGTGTGTCTTGTTGTCATATACAAAATGTATTTTTTTTTTTCTTAACATATTTTTTGGTTAAGGATTTATTGTATTGTTCACAACAAGTAGTTATTTGATTCTTTGAGGGTACTATGTGGTATTATTTATGTAATAGTTTAAATCAATAATATAGCAAAAAAATCTTATAGATTGGATATAATAAACTCATTATTTTCAAGCAATTGACAGACTCCTTAGTGTGATTTGTGATTTCTCATGCTTTGAGCATCACGTACGCAATGTTATATGGTATTCTATGACTGTTTAATAATTTTCATTCAAAACACATCATTTATAAGTAATGTCATATCTTTAATATTTTTCCATCAAATAAAAATTAAATAGATTTATAATAATTTGTGCTATAAACGATGTGTTTTTATTTTCTAAAATTAAGAATTTTGATCCATAATTTTTTGTGCTAAAATTACAAACTTACATCACCATCCACACTGAGTTATTCTACACTATTATAGAATTTTAATTTGTTCTTATTAATAATGAATATGTAGTTTTTTATGCTTAAATTTAGCTCATAAAATTATTATGATCTTAATGTTCATCATGATTTCTTTTTAAATAAAAAATTATAATTAATAGTGCCCACTCTAACTTAATTTCCTGACTACGCCATTGGACACAGCCATCTCAAGTTTGTTTAACAATTCCCATAGGACAACGTTTATATTTGTTCCAACAAAACTAGTTATCTAAAAATTCTATCAAAAAACTGAGAATGTAAATGTGTGGTTGAGATTGAATTAGTAAATTGTGAGAGTCACACATTGATATTTTTGGTTAGAATTCTCAATAATAATTCAAGGTATATAGTTTTACTCATGCTTTTTAAATATTTGTCTTGAAAATCTCTAGTCTCTTCCCTGTTTATTCTTTTTAATTTTTAATTTAGTTTTGAAAATTTAAAATCACTAGAGGATGGCAATTTTTTCAATATATTAATCTTATAGAGTTTTTAAAACATGATAATTCCATTATATTTATAATTTATGTTTTTGAATTAAATTTTTTATTTTTTTTATTTTATAAATAGCAAAATAGATACTTACAAAATATTATTAACAATACCTGTGACTATTTTTTCTACAAAAAAAAAGTTTTTCAAAATTAAAATTTTGAAAAATTACTATTTTAACGTTGATTATATCACAAAAAATATAAGTGGATTACCAATTTTATCAATTGAAAAAGATTTGTTAGAAAAATTTGATAATGAAAATTTAATTAGTAATTTTGCATATAAAAAAAAAGAAAAAAGAAAATTAATTTTAGATGAAAAAAAGTGTCATGTTGAAATTTTACCTTAAGCCCCTGCAAGGGTTGGGGCCGCCCCTATTATTGAACTGTTTTTACACAAATCTGTGTTGTGTTATCCATGTTAAACCATCTTTTCTTTTCTTTTTCTTTTTTCTTTTCTTCTTTCTTTTTTTTTTTTTCCATTTTTTCCTTTTTGGTTCTTTCTCTTTTCTTTGCTCTAACTTTTGCCTGGGTCACCCTTCCTGGTTTTCAGCCCAGCGAGGCAGTCAAGGATAAAAAAGTTTAACTTGTCCATGTTGAATGGTTTTGAGATCTCGAAGCCATCTCAATACAATAGAATAGCTGTTGTTCGCTGATGATGTAGGAGTCCATCCAATCAGGTCTGAATTTGCCTCAGTTCCTCACTTTGGTTTGCAGCTTCACAACCAATATTATTTTCATTCCAAACACAGTAATTGGTACTGTCACTCTCCGTTAAGGTTACACATGGGTGGTGCCAAGTTTATGAACGCTTCTTCATGCTCAGAGTTCAACTCATTTTTTTGTTTTTTATTTTTTTCAATTTTTTCTCTTCTACGCTATGGAAGGCAACTCATTCTATTTTCACTTAAATAACAAACTTTCCATATGACATTGAACTAAATTAGTTATTTTGAATTTTTCATGTTATCATTGTTGAGTGATCACATGAGTTGAATTGAAACTGACCCTCTCCAATGTTGCAGCGGCTAACATGGATGGCCTTGAGATATGCTAGTGCACCACGAGGGCAGCCAAAGACCATCAAAACGGAAAAGAATTCAAATGTAAAATTAATTATTTTGAATTATTTATGTTATCATTATTTTTTTTTGTTTTTTTTTATCAGTAAAGGAATCAAAAAAAGATAGAGTACATCAATAAAGAGGAGCTCAAAACTACAATAAGCTCGGAGCTCCAGTTGGAGAGAATCCAACACAGAGAGAGAACCAAAAAAACAAAACAAAACTGCCAGAACCGAAACAAATAAAACTGCCAGAACCAAAACAATATACACAACAGATCAGCAACACAGCAAACTAGGCAGCCACACTACAAAACTCCACTCAGAGTAGGCAACAACAGATCAGAAACAGAGCAAACTATACAGAGCATATTCCTGCAGCATACAAAACCCCCCTCGGAGGAGGCAGCCACACAACAAATTTCCTGCAGGTTGCCCACCACTCAGCACCCAAAACTGACCAAAAGCCAAACTAGACCTGCACTAGAGTTGAAGACCAAGCTACAAAAGTTCACTTCAGCACTTCATATCAGCAAATCACACAGAAACAGCCAAATGAAGTAACCAAAATAATGAATCAGCCAACAGACCATCAGAGATGCAACTGAGATGCAATTGAGTAATCACATGAGTTGAAACTGACCCTGTCCAATGTTGCAGATGCTATTCACAGCCTTGAAAGAAGATATTGCACCACGAGGGCAGCCAAAGACCATTGAAACGGAAAAAAATTCAACTCTCGAGGCCTACAAGGATAGGATTAACACTTTCCTGTTGGTGGCAACAATTATTATCACTGTGACCTTTGCGGCTGGTATCACTGTTCCAGGTGGATATGACGACTCTGAAACTCACAAGGGCATGGCACTTATGGTAAAAAAGTCTGCATTTCAAGTATTCGTGATCGCTAATGCTTTAGCTATGTATAGTTCCATTATTGTTGCTGTTTTGCTCATATGGGCACAGTTGGGAGATCTTAATCTCTAACCCCCTCATCATATTTTATCATCATCATCTTTCCCATCATCATATTCTCCCCCATACTTTTTTTTTTTTTTTTCTTTCCACACACTCATGTTCCCCACTATCTGCTTTCTCCATTCCTATATTATTTTTATTATTCTTATTCTTCAACAAAAAAACACAACACAACACAAAAAAAAAAAAAAACAAATTCCAAACACCATTGCTGTTTTTTCACAAATCCGTATAGAACCACTCTTTCGTTTTGATTCCAATATATTCTTATTCTTTCTTTCTTTATTTTTCTTTCACATTATTTTTAATCTTTTTCAAATTCCATTCATCCCATATCAATTTGCACATCAAACCTTATTTTATTCATCTCCGGAATCTACTTCCATCAGAAAGTTACCAAAACAAAAAAACAAAAAAAAACAAAAAAAAACAAAAAAAAAAACAAACAAACAAACAAAAAAACTGTCCTTTATTCATGTCGAGGATCAACCCCGATCACCATTTTCCACCACAAAAAAAAAAAAAAAAAAAAAAAACAAAAAAAAAAAAAAAAAAAAAACCAAAAAAACCCCACCCCCTCTACCAAAACTTACTTGTCCGTCGGATTGTCGCGTGAAATTCAAATTGAGCCTCACAAAGCCCAACAATCCATCCTGCCGGTCTTTTCTTCTTGCCTCCGTCCTGGGCGGCCCTTGCCGGTGTTGCCTCCGTGTTTCCCACTCCACTGGGCATGACCACTATTCCTTGCTCCTCCACTGCAGCATATGGCGGCCCTCCAAATCGGAACATCACGGTGGGCTTCCGCTTCAGCTCCTTGTTTTCTGCCCTTAGCACGCTTATCTCTGCTCGCGCATCCTTATACATGCGTTGGAGCAGAGCCAGCTGGGAGTTTAACTGCTGCACCTCATTTGCCCTACTCTGCAGCCGGTTCGACAAGTTTGTGACCGCCGTCATGCTTTCCACACATGCCTTCAACGTATACTGATTGGCCTCCACATCCGACAGCACTGCCATTCTTTGCTCCACAGACCGCATCGGAAAGTTCAACGGAGCAAACTCCGGGGCACTTGGTTGAGGTTCCAGTGCCACCGCACCAGTTATCTCTCTTGTTGACTCGTTGAGGTCGGGAAAGAGGGTGAGCAGCCCGCAGGAAGACGAAGCCATTTTCTGGGCTACAAAGTGTTCCACAGTTTCTCTCTCCAACAACGCAGAGTTTTTCAGAGAAGGGTTGGTTTCAGAGGTTTCAGATTGGTTTGCACAGCCTCCGCCTCAACCTTGGTTTAAATAGCCAGGGCCGATCCGCGCATCGCGCGCCACTTGCCGACAGACGACAAAACGGGCGCGCCAGCCAAGGCGCTCACGTGCCTCGCCATCATGTCCGGCACACCTTTTGATAGATTGGGCACGCCTTTTGATGGCACGCCTTTTGACAGATTGGGCACACCTTTTGAGGGTGCGCCTTTTTCAACGGTCCGACATGACCCCATAAACTGTCCCGACATTGATTCCGGTTAGCTTTTCCAGTGTCCTCTACCACGTTATGACACAACCATCCAGTGTCCTCTACACCGTTATGACACAACCATCCAGTATTTTCACCAACGGTCTGACACGACCATACAGTGTCTCCTATCCTCTTTTATTTTTATGTATTTTCTTGTTTTGTTCCTCTCTCCAAACTCAAGTTGGTTAGTTCCTATCCCCCTTAAGTTTGCGGGGGACTGTTAAAACCTATCACCTACCACCAAACCTACCATCACCACCTACTACACCTACCACTTCACCTACTCCCCTTCACCTACTTCACCCACTACCTTCTTCTCTTCTATATATAGGAATCATGAATCATTGTAATAAATATCAATACATCAATCAATAATATCAATCATCAATACATATTTCATTCTCTCTATTTTTCCATACATCAAATTTAACACAGTTGGAGAGAATCCAACACAGAGAGAACCAAAAAAACAAAACAAAACTGCCAGAACCAAAACAATATACACAACAGATCAGCAACACAGCAAACTAGGCAGCCACACTACAAAACTCCACTCAGAGTAGGCAACAACAGATCAGAAACAGAGCAAACTATACAGAGCATATTCCTGCAGCATACAAAACTTCCCTCGGAGTAGGCAGCCACACAACAAATTTCCTGCAGGTTGCCCACCACTCAGCACCCAAAACTGACCAAAAGCCAAACTAGACCTGCACTAGAGTTGAAGACCAAGCTACAAAAGTTCACTTCAGCACTTCATATCAGCAAATCACACAGAAACAGCCAAATGAAGTAACCAAAATAATGAATCAGCCAACAGACCATCAGAGATGCAACTGAGATGCAATTGAGTAATCACATGAGTTGAAACTGACCCTGTCCAATGTTGCAGATGCTATTCACAGCCTTGAAAGAAGATATTGCACCACGAGGGCAGCCAAAGACCATTGAAACGGAAAAAAATTCAACTCTCGAGGCCTACAAGGATAGGATTAACACTTTCCTGTTGGTGGCAACAATTATTATCACTGTGACCTTTGCGGCTGGTATCACTGTTCCAGGTGGATATGACGACTCTGAAACTCACAAGGGCATGGCACTTATGGTAAAAAAGTCTGCATTTCAAGTATTCGTGATCGCTAATGCTTTAGCTATGTATAGTTCCATTATTGTTGCTGTTTTGCTCATATGGGCACAGTTGGGAGATCTTAATCTCGTTCTTGTTTCCTTGACATTGGCTTCGCCATTGTTGGGAGGAGCTCTTATGATGCTCGCGATATCATTCATGACAGGTGTTTATCTAGTGGTGAGCAACCTTAATTGGCTTTCTTATGTTATTTTGATCATGGGCTTAATCTTTGTCCTTGCCCTTTCCACGCTGTTGATTCTATTCTTTCTACCAACTTCCTTGAACCATCGCATGCTACGCTACATCTTCTACTATCCATTTTCTCTTTTGGTATTAATCAGCAAAAAGTGGTGTTGATGTCTGGTCTGTTGGTATTGGAAAACTTTCTTTTAATATTTTCAAACAAAAAAAGTATGTAAAATTATTGTACTAACAGCCACATCATTCCTTTTGGCACTCCATTAGAGATATGTGGATTTCGTGTTTTTTTTTTTTTTTTTTTTTTCTTCTCATTTATGAAACTGATTATGTATTTATATATGTATTGAAAGTTTATTTGATATACTATCTACATTTTGCACTGGAACTATTTGGAGAATTGCATTGAGTCCGATTTTGTTCAAACACTCAACAGAGCCTGCAAACAATACACACTTGTGACTGATCAAAAATAGCACGATATATACATTTGGGTGGGGTCATTACATTTTTTTCGGTATAAAACTTGATATTTTGCACCAATCAAAATCTATTTATTATTCACAATTGGTATCACATCGGAACATAAATTACCTCAAACCGTGTTGTTTAAGCATTCAATGTTATTGATCAACCCTCCCAAAATTATATGATGTATTGGAAGTCGGGCTTCCTATCCCATGCTTTTAATTCAGTAATCACATAAATTCAGAATTTCATTCAAAATTATCAATTTATGTTCTAATTTTTTTTTTCATATATCATTTCAACCTCAACCATACAATCATCATTTGGCCTAAAATCTAATAAATTTTTCTAGATAAGAGGGATTTCTGCTTTTGAATAGATAGGTAGGACCTTAGGCCTCGTTTGTTTTGGGGTGTAATAGATGGGAGGGGATTACGATGGAGGTGGGATAATTTAGTATTGTGTTTGTTTGTAGAGTTCGGGAAGGGATTAGAATGGAGGAGGGGATTAAGATGGAGATTGTAAGGGAGATTGGGATGGAGGAGGTAAAGGTGGTATTAGAAAAATAGTGAGGGGATTAGAATTTTTTTTTTTATTTTTTACATATTGGGAATTTTTTTTAAAACATTAATGTTCATAATGACGTTGTGGTATTGTAAAGTAAGACATTTAGCGGCGTTTTAAAAACGCCGCCTATACTAATATAATGACGTTTTTAAAACGTCAGGAAGTTATAGCGACGGCCGCGTCCTCGGCGCTTGATGCTAAGCGTCGCAAAAAAATTAGCGGCGTTTTTGACACTTATAGCGGTGTTTTTTAAGCGCCGCTAAAAGCTAAATTTCCTGTAGTGATTCTACCTCTGAAAACAAATAGGACCTTATCGTGTTAACTTCCTTCAAATAATTACCACTAACAAATAACTAGTAGTCAACTTTATCTAAATTACCCCAAATTTGACTGTAAATAAAAATATATAAGTAATATAATTTGGATTGCTGCTGTTATCTCCATAAAAAATTTTGGACCCCTATTTTTTAGTGTTTTTTTTTAATTACAATAATAATCTCAAGTGAAATTATTAAAAAAATACATCAATAATGTTAGCTCATCTCATCTCTCAATTAAGCCCACATACCTATTACATCATGAGTTAGGGTTTATAAGAACACTCACCTCCATCACTATCCAGCTATCTTCCCCAAATCAAACTTTCAAAACCTACTCACCCTCAAAACTTTGAAAATCCTTTGGCGGCAATATTTCGACTGCAATGGTGGCAACCATTTGATTACATACACTTCTCCGACAATGATAATGAGTGAAAGTTTTTCCGGCAACTACAACTCCATGAGACGCGAAGAGTACACCAATAAAAGCTTAGAAGAGGTTCATGGATTTGATGGTGTTATTAGCTCAGATGAGATTAGCCTTGTAAAAGTAAGTTTCTTGAAAAAAATGGCAAAAATAATAAAAACTATTCGTCATTTTTTCAGGACTGAACTCTCGAACGTATGACCAAAATTTTGGGAATACAAGCCTGAACATTGTTTATTTGTTCAGGAACTAATGACCAAAGCAGTAGCAGCAGAAGCAGGCAAACAAAGGAGGTCGGACCACCCTTGGCCGGTCGACCGGAGGGTGAAATCCTGCCAAATTTTTCTCACACAGATAGCATACAAGTACAGTGAGATCATGGATGAATGATATAAACCAACCAGAGAATTATGAAAGTAGATTGTGTTGTGTGTGTAAAAAAAGGTAATAAAAAAAAAATTAAACAGATTGACAAGCCTCGTAATGAAGTAAAGAAAAAACTTTTTAATCACATAAATTTTTTCTACTAATTTTGGGAGGTTCCATCATTGTGGGTTTTGTTAGGGTTTTGAGAGAGAGGCTTTTTGAGGTGTGAGGGTGTGCATTTGAATGGGTGGAATATTTTTACAAGGATAATTTTAGTATTATTTGAGAAGAGAAAAGAAATTTTAAGAGTTTTACAATTTATAAGTAGGATACAAAAAAATGAGGGTTCAAAATAATTAATGGGGTGTTAATAGCAGACTCATAATTTAATACTGTTGCTTCAAAAAGTATCCCATCTTGGGGGTTGCAACTTTTCCTTTAATTGATTTCTCAATGTGGATTACATATAATTTTGGATAAAATTTTAGCCGTTTTATGTTTGGTCACTTTTTATATTTTGTCTCTTAAAGTTTGTATGTTTTTACTTTGATTCTTTGTATTTCAAGTTTATCCCAATTACTCTTAAAATTAATTTATGTTCAAAATTAAGCAAAAAATGTCATGATAGCTGTCACATAATATCAAAAATATTATTATATTAAGATTTGAATTTATGTCAAAGGTGTGAGTTATATGTAATAAACTATTTTTATCCTTAGGTGAAATTTGACATGGGATAAACTAAAAATAAAAACTTATAGAACATAATGCATTTTTATTTTATCATTAATCTAATTTTTGTAATTTATTCTATGACATTTATATCTTATTAAAAACTTAGAAGATACAATTAATACCACAAATAAATTAAAATGGATTTTTGGCCATAACTCCTTCCTAGAGCTTTTTTTTTCTTGAAAATGACAAATTCTAATTTTTTTTGGTCATAAACTCCTCAAAAATAAAGAATCTTTTAAGAAAGACAAAAAATTTCAAATTTATATTTTGTATGAAAAATTTACCCTTTTCACACACACACACACACACATACTCCCACTCTCTCTCTCTCTCTCCCTCTCTTATCACCACCACCACCATCTCCACTACCACGACCACTACCGTTTCCACTACCTCTACCGTCTCCACCATTACCATCTCAACCACCGATGTTGTTTGTCACCGCTACCATTACCACCGTTTCTACCATCACCGTCTCAACCACTGGCGCCATTTGATGCCACTGTACCCCCGACAACCACTATCGTAATTCTTCGCCTCAAAACCTCAAATTTGAGATTAAACCCTAATAACAGAAAACAATGGTTGATTTAATCCCTAAACATGTAGTCATTGATCTTATGCAGTTGATTACCTTTTCAGAAGGAACAAAACTCATCAACAAATAGAGGCAACAAAAATATAAAATAAAATAAAAAAGAGGAGCAGAATGTTTCATTTCTTCGAATAAACTTGATGGGTTTATGAATGAGCATTCAAGAAATCAGGATGAGAACATGTGGGTCTTCGGATACGAAGAATAAAATAGTGACCACCAGCTTCGGCTGGCGGCAATTCCCATTGATTCCAGCCCCTCCCCGTCACACACCCGCCACCGGTGCGAGCCCCTCTTCTCTCTCTCTTCCCCCTCCACTCCGGCCAACTCTTCACTCTCTCTACTTCCTCTTCATCCTTACAAAGATAGAGAGATCAGGAAAGAGACCCACTCTTCTGCCACTTCCTCCATCCTCACCTTCAATTAGTTCACTTGCCGCTCCATCTCCGCCGTAGACAGCATCGCCGTCCACTCCATCGCCATCGAGTTTGCTTCAAATCTACTTCAAATATTTTTTTTTTGTTTTTTTATGTTGTATTTGGTTGGAAGATTTGGGAAGGAATTTGGAAAAGGAAAGAGAAAATGTATGTAAAACTATGTGAAATACAAATATATTTTATTTATATTTTACTTATTTTTCTTCCCAATTAATCAGCCACCCAATATTTTAATCACCTACATCACTTCCAAAGCTGCTGTACACCACGCCTAAGCTGCCCACGCTGCCCACGCGTATTCTGCTCACACCTAACACCTATGCTGCTCCAACGCCCTCCTGCTGCACTGCACGCCCACCTGCTCACGCTCCTCTACTGTGCACGCACCACTGCTTCAGCTGAGGACCTCGCCATGGCTGGACATCACCAGGCTGGGCATCACCACTGCATCCTCATTGCCGAGACTCCACTCCTAACAGATACTTACTGCAAACTCATTGCAATCTCACCCACAGCACTCAATGCGAACTCACCCACTCCCGACAGAAACTCCACACCCAGCCACCCCTAAGATGCTGCAACTCCACCGGTTGAGTAGACCCCAAACCACCACCGGGAAGCCCGATGCTGCTCCACCTTCAGTCTCCTTAACTCACACCCACCGAACTCCACACACCCACCGAATACCGAATCTTCTTAACTCACACCCAGTACCCACGCCAGAGCCTCTGCTGCAGTCCACACCCATGCTGCTGCCAAAACTCCATAGCCAACAGGGCTTCCGCCAAACTCCACACACCCACCGAACACCGACCACCCGCTGGGACACCTCCATACAAATGATAGAATTTCACCCCTCAAACTCTCACTCAAGAAGGAGCGCTCGAGTGAAAACCGGAAAGAAGACACCCCTCAAACTCCTACTCGCCAAAAGCGCTCGAATGAAATTCATGAATGTCACCCGCAGCAACAAAAACACACCTAGATCGGAAAATGGGAGATTCAAGTTTATTGAAAGAAAAAAAAACGAGGTTATTGACAGAAAAAAACTAAAGAAGGCAGCCACGGAAACGAGCTAGGCCAGCCGACCGCCATAGCCAAAGGGGGCGGCCGGCCAGCCCAAAGAGAGGTCGGGGAAGGAGGTTTTTAGAGAGAGAAAGAGGGATGCAAGGTTTTTAGAGAGAGAAAGAGGGAATTTATTTAACACACACCTTAACACACACCTTAACAAACATTTTTTGGTCCCACTTTTATTACTTTTTGTCATATAACACACCTTAATACACTTTTTTAGCCATCCCATTGTGGATGCCCTTAGTTTGGATAGAAAAGATAATAGTTGCACTTTAGTCCCAAATCAAACGACAAAGAAGATAATTGACCATTTCTAAATAATTGCAGGTAAAGTACAACTGGCTTAAATCAGGAAAACTAATTTTGCCCAAAAATAAAAA